CTGCATAGATAATATCTTGATKATCAGTYTCTCTCAGTGACGATACTTGCAGTTCAGTCCTCATGCTCTAGTCCACTCGCTGCAGAGATGTTCGTATGATGTTCCTATATCGAGTTGTTGCTGATCAGCCGGGCCCATTCAGGCGGGCTCCTATATCGAGTTGTTGCTGATCAGGCGGGCCCATTCAGGCGGGCCCCTATATCGAGTTGTTGCTGATCGGTCGGGCCCATTCAGGCGGGCCCCTATATCGAGTTGTTGCTGTTTCAGCCGGGCCCTTTCATCCGGGCCCTTTCAGGCGGGCCCTTATATCGAGTTGTTGTTGTTTCAGCCAGGCCCATTCAGGCGGGCCCCTATATCGAGTTATTGATGTTCAGCCGGGCCCATTCAGGCGGGTCCCTCTATTGAGTTGGTTGCCACCAGTTTGGCTTGAGGGTCTATTGAGGTGTTGTCCTCTTTGACCCTATCGAGTTGGGTTATTTTCCTGGGTTATTGATATTCCCCCTCATCTCCAGGACATCATTGCTTGGCATAGCAGCTTTCCAGGGGCATTCTATATTATTTTGCAGATTGGTCAAGATGGCTTCTCAACATGAGACAACCCCTACATGGGGTAAGCCGGTTGAGAAGTTCTGCTATCGACACATTGGGCATCAGAGCTTCGTCATTCGGGCAACGAGTCTCCCACATCAAGGTACACATTGCTGATCACTTATCACGTGAGAGATGTTGGGCAGGGAGTGAAGGGAACCACCTACGACCGGATTGTTGACTATATCTTCCGCAGGGAGAGTTACTGGAGGGAACACTGGTTACATGTGGTGTTTCCGCAGATCCATTTTGCACCAGGTGGTGTCCTCTATGACTTTGACGGCTGTAACCCTAAGCCGTTGAGCAGAGGTGGCAGCAAGGAAAAGAGGCGTCAAGACAGGAGGATCAGGAGCGAGGTGGCCAGATCTGGGATTCCTATTACCACCTGTTTACAGAGGTCAGAGACAGATGAGTAGGACCAAGAGCCTTGCTGTGTGAGCGATGTTGACCTGGGGGACTATTTTGACTGGGATACTCACAGGGACTGGGTACGCTTGAGTTTGGAGCAGGCCCAGAGCATCTTATGACGTTGGTCACTGAGGCGAGACGCAGGTGGAAAGCAGCCTTACGATGGGTTGCTTATTTCTTGGCACGATACTTGAGGGTGATTAACCCAGGCATTACATGTCAGGAGGACCCAAGTAAGAGGAGGTAGTCGGCCCTTCAAGGGGGAAGGGACCAGTCCCATATCTTGGGGATGGCTACAGCCATTTGGTGGGAGCAGACTTCGTCATACAGGCTTTTCGGAAGCCTCTCTATGGAGACCGTTTTCTAGAGGTTTCGTATGACTACATCTACGTTAAGGGACGGATCGAGATCTTGATCGGTGCCACTGGCAGCATTTCCCTCGCTGAGGAGTTGTACCTTCGGAGTGTTGCGGACGAGGAGATGGCTAGATGTATGGCATACATCAGCAAGATCGATTCTACGACATCCTTTGACATCAGCTATTTGGTCCCAGAGTCGATGGCCACTCAGGTTCTCAATGACGAGGAGGACTAGCATGTACCAGATACGGAGTCCCAGACAGTCGAGCCCACTTATGAGGGGGTACCACTTGTCGTGATTGATTGAGGCTCGTATCTTCTAGTCAATGAGATGTACTATGACATTATTATGATTTATCAGTGACTGCAGCCCCCTCTTTTATGGCTGTTTCTCGCATTCTCTGTGTACTACTCTTCAGTCTCGTGTTTCTGGTCATGCTCTTGCAGAGTCTGGTTTCTCTTTTTTTCATCCTCTCAGTGTCATTTGATTTATGATGCATATCCTGTAATGCATGAAATGTTTATGCATGAGATAACAAGTTATTTATCACTCCACATCAGGTTACACTCAAGGCTACTTGAAGGACTCCTGGATAATAGGGACTCCGGTGACCTTGATTCTAACCTTTATACGGGGTCAGGTGCAGGCGATAAAACCGAACGCCTCACTCTAAGTCGTGTCGCCGCTGGCAGGAGGGATAACCCTGACTACTCGATTGTGTGACAAAGGTTGCTTGTAAGTTCACTCCTAATTTTCATAAAACTCTCCAAAATCCTGTGTGACAGCCTGCCAGTCCATCAACCCACCGCACTCGGCCCAGGGAGGGACATTAAACCAGGCCTTGGAACGGTGGGGGCGTGACACCGCGTGCACCGCCTATGCTACAGCGAACGAGAAACGCCCTCGGCTGGTCCACCTCTGCGATTGCAACTAATTAGCTTTCGTACTGTGGACTGGTAGCTCGGCGGGGATACGCCCACCGAAGGGAGGTGATAACTCCCATAAGGTGGAGGTAAGTCGTGCCTCACGTAGGCCCTATCCTGTCGTAGGGGCTCGCGATAGGTATGGTTGGCGCACTCGGCCGGAGCGGCTTGCGGAAACTCCATGTGTATTTTCGACGAAGGATTAAAATCCAACTCCTGCGTGACGCGGCCGGGAGGGTCCCACGCTGCCCTAGTGCGGTGCCGGACTGATGCGCTCGATAGGTGGCGCCGTTGTCGGGGATAATGGTTGTCTACCGTTGTCCCTAGTGGAACGATATCCGGGTATCTGAAGTGAGAACTAGGCAAAGATGAGAAGTCTTTGGTAGACTTATATAAGTGATTGGTTGATATTTTGACTATTGTTGGAAGTACAGGGTTTAGAGCTCCCTAGAAATCGGACCTAGATTTGTGGCAAGTTGATGACTCAGACGGAATAACCATTTCTGCTTTATTGATTGGCTTAGATGGAATGGTTGGTTGCAAACGACATTCGATAAAGCATGAAGTGAGGGTAGATTGTGTGACTTGGTTTTGATCGAGACGACTGGGTTTTGATTAACGAGGTATGAGTGGCTCACGAGTGATAAGTGTTTTCATTATGTGTTCACGAGCCCTGACTGACATAATGATAGCTGAAATTGATAACCCTTCTTATCAGATGGCCGGCAGATTTGGGTGGTGCTCTGCGTGCTTGACGTGGTCAAAGTTAAGCATGGCTATTGTGAGAGATAGCCCTGTGGTGTACCCTTTTTGACTGCCCTAAGAGTCATCTGAGTGATTGGGAAAGCATCGTACTACGGTGGCATCAGAATGGAGCTAAGCATAAGTGAGATAATATTCCTTTGTCAAGAGTTGAAGGTATAGATCCTCTCCTAGGTGTTAGATTAGAAGTCGTTTGTGCGCTTCGATGAAAGGTAGGTTAAGGAAAGTTGAAACATATTATGAGTATGGACTTAGATGTTTGAGTTTGGGTCCTAAGTGGTGGATCAATCTATATAATCATGAGAGATAATAGATTTGCATGACGTCCTCTCTACAAAAGTGGTATCTGATCCTAGAGGCAGTAAGAATGAAAGTAAAGGGGCTAACAATTAAGTCATCCCGTTAACTTTCGCTAATACAAGGGAATGTAGGTAATGTTAGACCTCCACTTATACCTTTTCAGGTTTGGACCTTCCACTTGAATCTATATGGAATTTGAACTAAGGACTTGAGGCTATTTTTCCCATGCGCTTTCTTTTGAGTTATATGTTAAATTTATTCATATATGTCAGATTTTATTGTGAATAAGTCTGTTTTGTGTCTATCTATGTGAGGTTATAGGCTTGATATCGTTTTGCTTGATGATCATTTTTTTTGATGATATTCACATAGGTTATTTATCTGAAGTGCTGGTCTGAATCTATCAATTTGCAAGGATTTATATGAGTGTCTCAAGTCCAAATATCGATTTATGACTGACTGATGAGGTTATTTGTTTGGATTGCTCTTCAAAAATGGGTAGAGATGTTGCACAGAATCCACGTCTGATGCGGATTCAGAGGTGAATGGAGTGACCACTTCCTCGGGATAAGATATTGTCTCGTGGAGTGGTCGATGTGTAAGGTCTGCCCTAAGGAAGGTGACAATCCTATGTAATTGTTTCCCTGAAAGATAACTTTGAAGAAGTTATAGATTGTCTTGTAATTAGTAGTGAGACCCACGTCGAAACTATGTTCCTGGTCCATAGTGGGGTGTTGTTGTTGTAGCTTCTGTAATAAAACAACTACACTACTACTGAAAATGAGGAAAGTGTTTGAAACTTGTTAGCTTTTGGTCTATGAGGGAAGCAACTACTACATGCCACAGGCAAGTAGGGGGTGAATCCCCAACTTTCTTTATGACGACTGGGTTCGCCAGCATAGGACGGGGCTGCTCCACCCCGAAGCGTGTATGGTGAGGTTGTTTACCTTGTCGGCAGAGGTCTGCGAGGAACGAATGCTAGAATCGGAGGGAGCAGCAGTGAGGCTTAANCACCCCGAAGCGTGTATGGTGAGGTTGTTTACCTTGTCGGCAGAGGTCTGCGAGGAACGAATGCTAGAATCGGAGGGAGCAGCAGTGAGGCTTAATCCTTGAGCGGGGCTCAAGGGTTTGAGATGCTATCTGTTCTCAAAAGGGATTAAACTGTCCCTCGCCACATTATACTTTTGTCAAAGCTGGGGAGTAAAGTGTGATGCGTTGGTTGTTGTTATGTCTGAGAATGCTGTTGGTTGGCAATTCCATCTTTTGTTATGGCCTTTTCATTATATGGTATATTTGTTGATATAAGTTTATCCTTACGAGGTGGTTGTATATCATGTTTTTGGTAACAAACTAGTCTGAGTGCGATGTATTTGATTTTTATGAGTATTGTTGTTGTCAAATACTAAGATGATATATCATTTTTCCATGAGATATTATTATTATAAAATATTTTCGATATCTGTGACTGAACGATTATTATAATATATTACCATAAGTTTCTCCAAGTGGGATGGTCGCAGACGCTGGAAGGGACAAATTTTAGTAAAAGGTGATTTAAGGTTAAGGCTTTAGCAGTTGAGGTCGTAGAATGCGATTGTCAACATGGTAACGGAAGGCGTATGCTGGACGTTTGTCTGTGATGGGCATAACCTAGACAGGGCTAAGGCAACTCAGGATGCCTTATGCTAGGGAAGATCCCACTATGGCCTTGCCAGCTGAAAGGGAAGGCGGACTCGAGATGTTCTTGCCAAGACGGGTTAAAGAGGGGGAGTATATTTCTTCTTGGTGGGGCGTGCAGATGGATATGGATATCTTCGCCTGGATCGAGTCTGGATTTAATGATGATCAGGATTGCGCAATTGTGAGGGTGACCCTATACGCCCCGCCATCATTCTGGATCGAGCATGGGATAGAGTTGGCGCTTAGGCATGAAAGCCTGCTTGCTAGGCCTCTGAGGGTAGCCGTGGCAGCTGCAGCAAAGTGGGCGAGGGAAGCGTCTCGTGATGGAGAAGAGCAAGTACCGACCCGTGTAGAGGTCAGTGCGCTGGAGAGTTTGAGTTTCCATCTGCTCCGCTACGAGTAATCCTACCCGAGTTTCTGATAGAAAAGAGTTTTGGCGGACAGGCAAGGGTAGAGGCGGCAGCAGAAGCGGCTTTGAGGGTGCGAGGATGGGAATATGAGCGATACACATGTGAACTGATATATGGTCTATACCTAGACCTAAGATCCTTGCCCCCTAGTCAGTGGCTCAGGAACACGGCCAATATAGTTGACGTATACACCTCTTCTCATAATCCGAATGAGGAAAATGTAGACTAGGGGGAGACTCAGGTAGCAGTGGGCCAATAGGGAATGTCTCCTTTCTCTACTAAATGCGCTTTTTTTGACTTGGTTATGGTTGTCTCTCTATCCATTACCGTAGTTGTAAATGTAAGCGTCAGGGTAACTAGGGATTGAACCCTGACTACATGAGTAAAAGGGTAAATAGCGTGATTTAAGTGTTAGCAGTTCATCTTTGTCTACTTAAGCTTACTTGAATCGTTTTTTGATGATCTATTGTTCGCTATGCGTATCAGGCTGTTGTCAGCATCATGGCGGAAGAAAGCGGCTTCGCCAAGATCCTGCTTTGGAGAAATTCATGCCTCATGAAGGTGCTGCTGCACGAAACGTTGCAAGAGTCAATGCCCCCAGATCTTCGTGTCCTGCTGTTCCAAAGAAGGAACTTGTCTAGCTTTCTGCGTGACTTTCAGGGTTTTAGCCTTATAAAGATGTGGGACAAGAAAGCGATGTGGTACATGCTCCCTTTGTTCGTTTGTGAAGGACTAAATGAGGAGGTGTACACCCTCAAGCGGAAGGCGAAGACGTGGGATGAGTTGAAAAGTTCCTTGAGGCTAAGATTCCCAGAAGATGGAATAGAAGGTCAACGTGGGGAATGCTCTGTGCCACCAGTTGCGAGCGCACCATCGCAGGCGGAGATAAGTGGGTTACAAAGACAAGTAGGGGCATTGGAGGAGAGGTTAGCATGGTTGGAAGAGGCCAGGAGAGGCAAGCGGAAGGTTTCAGAAGATTCCCCAAGTAAGCCGACTGGCCAGGGGGAAAGAGGAGTAGAGAGGGATGACCAAGAGTCACCCCTCTCGAAAGGAGCCCCAAAGAGGCGAGCCGGTGTTCAGGCGAGCGACAAAGGCAAAGGAGCAAAGGAGGAGCAGGATGCTAATATGACTCTGTCTGTTATTGCGCCGGATCCAAAGAGGGGGCTCATTAACGTGACAGGTCGGAAGAGGCAAAAGAGTGGGTGGTGGTCAGAGCACTGGGTAAATGTGGTATTTGATTGTTGGGGAAAGATTGGTCGTACCCCTCAAGGAAGTAAGGAAAAGGGTGTGACGGGAAAGAAAGGAAAACTTGAACCTCTCAAATTGACAAAGGCGCAGCGGAAGGCGAGGAACATCGCTCAGGGCGGTCAAGGTACCGAAAAAGGGCAGAGTTCGCAGCAGGCAGCAATTACCCTGCGAGAGTTGGAAAGCGAGGCAATACCAAGGGGGCCTCCTCTGATCGAGCAAGCTTTGCATGGCCAGTGGGCGCCGTGTAACCAAATGAGTTTGTGGCCGACATATAATCCTTACATGCCCTGGACGCAAAGTAATTATATGAGCCCTTTGATGAACATGATGCCCCGTGGGCCCCCGCCAGTCCAAATCCAACCTGTCGGACCATTGTGGCCACCAATACAGCAAGTTTTGCAGGACAGTATGACAGGTGGAAGGGGCCAAAGGCAGGCAGTCGAAAGGGGCCGTGGAGACGGCGGGCGTGGCAGTACGGGCCGTGGAGATGGTGGACGCGGCAATGGAGGTCGTGGGAATGACAGACAAGGCGTCGAGGGTCGCGATGGGAGCCAGCGAAACCATAAGTGGGGCTCAAAGAGGAAAGGGGCATGATGGTGTTGAACAAGATGATTATTAGAGTGAGCCAAGTGATCAGGGGTGCGGAGAGGGTAGATGAGACGACTAGGGCAAAGAAAGTAAAGTAGGATGTAATGGGGATTCACCCTAACCCCTGAGTTGGGAAGCGTCTGTCAAATCGCCTGCCCTAGATCCTTGGATTCGTACTGGTAAAATTTAGTTGTACGTGTATTGATCTGGGAATCGGGGTAGCAGGCTGACCGTTGCGTGACCCTAACCCCGTACTAATTGGTAAAGGCCCGTTGCATATTATGTGAGTTAGGACAGACATATACTTTGATGCGTGTATATAGATCCGGGGAGGGGTTTCGCAATAATGGTCTGGTAAAGTAACTTAGATTGTAAATAGCTCAACCATATAGGTAAAACCAGGGGGGCAATGAGTGAGTGGGGGTTGGTTTGCCTATACGTCAGTAGGATCAAAAGTTTCTTGTATATAGAGACTAAGCTAGATATGTGCATATCTAGATATAGGCAATACTAGCTTGTCCATCTGTACGTATGCAGAGGGTAGTACTGGACGAATCTTTTGTTTCCTCTTTTTGTGTGATTTAGGTGGTTGTGTCCAGATGTGTGATATGTTGGCATATACAGTTGGAGTGGTTTTAAGGACATTCTTACGTAAGATCTATTCTGCTAGACCTATTGATTGAGGGCAGGGAGGTATTGAGCTTACATCGTGTGTGGGTCCAGATCGTTGTACATATGTGAGAAATATAAAAGACTTAGGAGGAAACCTCGACATGGGTGAAGCAGGTTCTCTAACTTAGACGTGTAGTACGTGAGACGTGTATATATGTTGGATCATAAGAGGCTCAGGGTAGGGTTGAATGAGTGTCTTTCTGAGTTATTGTGACTGTTTGAAGGTATGATAGCAAGAGCATGACCCAAGCATGGAAATGAGCCTCGTGCATGTGTGGATTACTAAGGGCAAGATATGGATGAGGGTATGGCTTAGAATATAGGTTTGAGTGCGTTGGGAGATCATGCGAGGATGTGATCTTATTAGAAGCATTGATTTGACCCTGATTGTGATACTTGACTCCTTTTAGGTCTATGTTGTGGGGATATCACCCTAAGGTTCGAAGCAGGGTGATTATGTTTTTAAAGATTAAGTTGCCTCTTAGCCATACCACGCTGAGTTATAGGGGTGTACGCACTTATGCGTTGTATAAAGGATATGCATGAAGTTTTTGTGTGTTTGAGTTTAAGTTTCCAAATTTATAGCCTATGAAAGGGGGATATGTACAACGTTTGGATTCAAGGTCAATTTAAGATTTAAAGTGAGTAAGGGATAGTGGGTTTTGTTTTGTGATTGGATATCTGGATATGTCTTGAATTACTTGGACCCTTTCAATTTGTAGAGAGCGGTTGCGTCCTGACCGATATTGTTTCAGTCTTAACACTGGTCAAGGAGGCCGCGAGGTTTTGCGCGATACTGGGGCCAGTTTTGAGTTGAGATTGTTCAACTCTGTGTATATATACGTACTTCAAGATCATATTTGCTTTGCCTTTGAGTCAAGATATCACACCTCTTAAGTATATATTGAGTTGAGGCTTTATCTGAGATTACTCATTTGTCTATGACGATCACGATCACGATCACAAGTGTGGATTTATCCTGATGCATTATGGTTTTGTGGGGGAGATGTATAAGAGACATCTCATGTGTTTGGTATCCTGTGAATGTGAATGAATGTGAACTGTCTACTCTTCGTTATAATTGTGCGATTTGCCCATGGGTGGGTGGTAGGGCTAGGTATAAGGAGAGAGAGAGCAGTCTATTTTATGAAAGTGTGGGAATTTTAGAAGATTTATGAGTCATTGAGACTCGAATGCTTTACCATGCCAGTTGTTGATTGTTTAAGTTGTGACGAGAACCCATAAGATGGTCTCTCAGTGATGGTTTGTTTCATGATGAGACCCCCTTGGATTTTGGAGAAAGGGATGTTTTGTAATGTTGTGTATGAGACCCCCTCGAAATTTTGGAGGAGGGGATGTTTTGTTCCATGATGAGACCCCTTTGGATTTTAGGAGAAGGGGATGATTTTGGTTGTTGGAAGACTCACCCTCAAAGGTGGGTAAAACTGATTTATGGCATGGTAAGTTGTCTGATGAGTGATAAAGTCTGACGAAAAGGGTCACATTTGCTTGGAATGTTTGGGAAGGTCGCAATGAGTGCAGGGCGAGAGATGTCTCAGGATGGGTGGTTGCTGACTCTGATCAAGTCAGGAGTCACGGCCTCGTGGACCTAGCGGTGATTTTGTTTGTGAGCATGCGAAGGATGTCATGCCTTTAGTGGGAGGGCTGGTAAATGTCTTCAGACCCCTACGTAATCGCGCAGTGGGCCCGTGATTTTGTTTTGCGACGCTCCGTCTAACCACTTGTGCTAGTTCTATGACATATTAAGGAATATCAAGCTAAACGGTAAGGGTTAGTACCTCTAGGGCGTAACCCCAGTGGATGGTTGCTAGCCGGCGCAACCTGGCTACGAGACCGCGGAGTAAGAGTTTAAGGGGACTTGCCCGCCCTAGAGAAATTACTCCGTGGGATAGTGAAGGTTGAGGTTTTGAGAAATCCTGATTGAATGCTTATCAGGAGAAAACCTATCGTTGCGTAACCAACGAGGGTACTGCCGCTAAAATAACAACACAGTGGGCCATAGTCCTGGTCCGATTAGCCAGGCTATGGTGGGCCAAGATGGAGACCTAGCTCTTCTGTACTAGACTGCAGAAAGTGCTGAGTGAATATTAAATATACATATGTACGTATATGTATGTGCTTGCGAGAGATTTTCTGAGAAGGAAGGCAAGAGTGCCTTCAAAGGTCTCGGTTAAGGTCCGCGTCCCTAGTTTTGGCCAGGACTAGGGACACCCAACGAGAAGCCGTAGGCTGTCTAGGACCGGGGAGAGGATGATTGGGAAGGTCTTTGGAACTTATATTTTCAGTCTTCTTGTGCCTGGGCGATGAGGGTCCGGGTTAGAAACCTGGCAGCATATAGTTGTGGAGGCATGGTTTGATGGAGGTCTCTACCCTGTGTTTGTCGGTTAATCGGATTGGCTTCTCTTTCGTCAGCATCTTGGGTAATCTAATAGTTTTTTTGATTTTGCGAAGCGACGCGGACATCGCTTAATATAGTCCGGTAAGCTGTCGGCGCGAATACCCTTACAAGGGTATCCGCCCTGGTTTTTGCGAGCGACAAAAAATAGTCTTAGTTTAAAGCTTAAGTATACCTCACCAGGCGCGGCTGCGTCTGTGATCTACGTTGACTGGATGGTTAACTAGAATAGAGTGTGTGTGGGCGCACAGATTTTTTAGGCGCGCGTGATCTTTTATTTGTTGATGATTGAAGAGTCAGCGTGACCGCCGGCCAGATTTTTTTTTTTCTGATTAAATAAGGATTAAAAAGATTATGTCTCGTTGACTGGTGTGCTCGCCTGTGACCTGTGCGTACGTATGGAGGACGACGGCATCGACAACGACAGTGCTACCTTGTGGGGTAGGTGGGCCGACGTAGGACGGCGCGGGAGCATCGGAGCAGCAGGAAGGGTTTGAGGGTTTGGCAGGGCTATCCCCTTTTGTTTGGGAGAGGCGGCCGATTTGCGGCCCCGCCCCTAGTACTAAGGGAGCGTTGGTAAGCCCCGTGCGCCGTCTCGATAGTTTCCCCCGCTTTTGTTTTATTAATGTTATAATATTATGTTTGTACACTTTTTATATGTATGTCTAAGCTAGATTCCATCAAGGCGTCGGCGCCGGTTTCGTGCCCGGATCGCGGGAGTGTGAGCTTGGCCGACGGGAGTGGCCATAAGCGATTGGAGTGTGGATCCGCGCGGAGCCTGAGCTCGCGCAGGCCTTGAAGTGCAGCAGGGCGCTGCCCCGGCCGATGTCCTACGGGATAGGTATGAAGAATTGGGTGGTATAGCAGGGGTTCATACGGCCGCTGTCCGGGGATGTATGCAAATCCGAGATAGAATCCGGACGTGGATCAGGCCGGGTTCGTACGCAGAATGAACAGGGCGGCATTTGCCCCCCACCAGTAGGCCAAGATAAAGGTCGTGTGGCCTTTGGGGGAGCCGCGGGGCATTGCCCCCGTCGAGTCCTTCGGGACATCTGCTAAAACTGGGACGCTACAGACAAGATTTGCACGGTCCCTGCTCAAGGGACGGCCTGTATAAGACGAGGGCGGCCGACGGCCGAATGCTTTCTGCTCAGCATTCGGTAGCCCGTTGGGCTGCGTGGTTGGGACGTCAACAGCGACAGACAGCGGGCCGGCCGGTTGGCGCAGCAGGCTGACAGGCATTGTGAGGAGGGGCAGCCGAACCTGGACGGACAGTCGGGGTAGGTAGCAGCGGAGGTAGAAGAGGGCGGAGAGCTGCGGGGCCGGACGCCGGGACAACGACGAACAGGGCAGGTAGCGAAGGAGGATGCCTGCAGCGAGCGGTGTGGCGCTGGCTCAGTAGTGTGACGAGCAACGGGCGGAAGGCCGGTGAGGCGCATACAAGGGGAAAACGAAGGGATGAACCTGGCACGATTCCGCGCCAAGTACGTGCAGCAAGAGAGATGGCGGAAGAGGGAGCTGGGCGCAGTCGGGGAAGCCAAACTCGCCCGTTCCTTATTGAAATCGGGCGTCGAAGGAGGTGTTTTTGCGGTTTTCGGGTCGAGTGACCACATTGGCGATGTTAGATTCGGTGTTAGTGGAGTAGATTAGGAGGTAGTAAGGCGATGAGCTGCGCGGGGATGGCAATGGGGAAGAAGAAGTGAGGGCAGGAAAAGTTTGATCTTACCCGTTTCTTGATTAAAACGGGCACGGGAGGAGTCATATAGGGGGTTTTCCGGGATCACGATCCTGATTTTGAAGTCAGAACGGGCGCAAAAGTAGTAGAAGGGGATGTCGTAGAGAAAGGAGCTGCGTGAGAGTGTCGGGAGAGGCGGATATGGCAGGGAGTGAGGAGCTTAGCCCATTCGATTCTTGACAGAATCGAATGAAGGGAGATGCGTTGTGAGAGATTTGGAGGTGGGCGAATTCGACGGTGATGCTAGTTTTGTTAGTACATTAATGGAG